TTGTCCACTTACAGGTCTGTGTAGTTCAAACTCACTGTGAGCCAGCAGTCAGAATAGAAGGTTTGAGGCTCTGCAGAGAGGAGCCGGGGCTGGAAAGGCTGGTCTGGTGGACATCCATCTGCAAGGATGAGCTTGGAGTTTGGGGATGGATGAGATCACCAAGAGGACGGAGAGGGAAAGGCATGAGGAAGAGCCAAGGGCATGAAAGTGCAGAGCAGAAAATGCAAGAGGTAGCAAAGAAGGGGCTGCCGGGGAGAGAGCCAAGAGCACAGTCCAGGGAAGCCAGGGGAAGGCTCCCCCACCCCTTGGCCGAGGCAGTGATGTGGGATCAATTTGGCAGTTACCTAAAAAGGTATCCACAGAGCTGGAGACCAGAATACAGGGAGGCGAGGGGTAAACAGTGCAGTAACAGAAGAGGTGAACAGCAGGAATCTCAAACTGCCTATGAGACGTGTGATGGTTACATCATTTTAACAACAGGTACCCTGTGTTGTGAGCTCAGAGCTCATCGTGAATGGGGCCCAGAGCCAAACATTGTGCTCAGATAGGTCCCTGGATGCTCTCAGCAACCCTTTGGCAGGGTACCATTTTCATCCCTATTGCAATAAAAATGCTGAAGCTTCAGAAAGTGATGTCACTTGTCCAGGCTCACACACTGAAGAGTGGCGGGTCCCGACCTAGAAGAAAGCCTCTTTCACTCGCGAGCCTGAGTCCTTCATCGCTGCCGTGGGAGGCAAGAGTTGGTACCATAATGTATAGACGATGGAACTGAGCGGCTTTGGAAAACTCAGTGCTGTTTTTCACATTTGTTTCGCTTTGTTTACTTTTTTAGGCAACCTGGAGTGTTTGTAACCCAAAGGGCAGGGGATTGGGTGAAAGGAGGAAAAAGTGATGAGTTCTGGGGTGGAGGCCAGATAGCAGGGTTACTAGCCTTATGGTGGGGAGTCTGACTACCTCCGCTGAGGTGGAGAGAAAAGACATGAGTGTGGAGATGGGGAAGAAGGTGGCCTTTGTCTTGTGAGTTTGATCAGGTGACCTTGATCTTCTTCGCATGATACAAGGCTAAAACAGAGAGGCAGTTGGGAGAATGGAAAACATTGGTGCAGTTGCCATGGAAATTTCTATGGGCACGTGCGGAAGATGAATAAACAGATCTTGGAGCAGCATGACTCAGGTGAGATGAGCTGGTATAAAGGTGCAGCAGCTTATCCAGGGGTTGGCAGCTGAGGGGAGGAAGGGGGGAAAAGGTAGGGATGATCGGAGGGTAGATTGAGGAGGAGGAGGGTGCAGAATGGTCCATCAGAACCTCACTTTGCCAAGTCCTTCATCACTAATACTAGCTCTCAAATTAAGGTCACCCTTTTAGGGAACCAGAATGTGCCAGCGTCAAAGGTGCTCACAGAGTCCAGTCCTGCAGGTGCAGATTCACCCCATTTTTCCAGCTGCAGGAACTGAGGCTGGCCATGGGGAATGGAGGGCTGCATTTGGTGTCCTTCACGTGCATGTGGGTTTGGGGCCTGTGATGCCGGCATCCTGGCTGTGGCAGACAAACCAGGGAGGCCTGGCTCCAGCCTGTGCCCCTTCCACCGGGCAGGTGGGAGCTAATGGTGGGTGCTGAGGAGAAGCAAGGTGGCTGGAGGCCACGTCTCACCTACTGAAGGGCTGGAAGAGTCTGAGCTTTGGAATTCATCGTGCCAGAGTAAATGAGTAAATTCTGGGCTCCAGGTTCACACGGGCCCAGAAGGGTCTGCCTTCTCTGGCATAGCTGGCTTTCTCTGACCCTGAGCTCTAACTGAGTGGTGTCTCAGGTCACCACTAAGACACCAGCCTCCTCTCAGAGCCTTCTGTCACCTAAATGCATGGTGACGCTAATGTGGGCCCCATGGAACAGCCACAAACATTATTTCACCCACTGAATTTTTTTTGGCTGTAGGAGACCGTGCAAGCTTTGTTCTATCTAATAAGAGAGAGTCTCAAGAGTAGCAACTTGAAAAAGACATTATAATTCAATTAAAATCTTACTCCTTTGGACACTCCCAGAGGGGGAAAGCCACTCGGAATTTGTGAGAAATCTAATTTATAGAGTCAGTGTTGGGAAATTGAATTGTTAACAATTAACTGTGTGTTACAGGGACCAAGCAGTGGGTATGGAGGCAGGAGTAGCTAGGCTCCATCCTCTGCAGCAGCCCATTTAATCTCTCTAAGCCTCAGTTTCTTTACCTATGAAATGGAGCTCACAGCCATCTGTTGGTCTTGTGAGAATAATAAAGATTATGCATGTTAAACGGCATCTCGGTACTACATTTTCCTGCCTACACTTAACCAGATCAGCAAGCCCTTTCTTCTAAGAAAAAAAAAAATTGTCTGTCTGAGCAACTGAGCAATAAAAGCTAAGCACAGACACAGGTAACAGGAAATAGCTTTTAAAATATATATATGGGGATTTTATTTAATTGATTTTAGAGAGGGAGCTGCCTGAAGGGCTTTGGTTACCAGCGGAATGAAATCCCAGCTCCTTAGCATGGCATTCAAGGCTTTTCACAGTCTAGTGGAGCTTGACTGTCAGTCTCCTCCCAGCTCCGCCTTTGCATTCTGCCCTTGATTCCTCAGATGGTTCCTTGCTCTTGCTGTCTCCACTTCTGGGAACACTACAATCCTCTGATTGGAGTCTCTCCACCTTTCTCTCTACCTGGCAGGATCCTATCCTGTCTTTGGAGACCTGCTTAACTATCCGAGGCCTTGTGGTGTGCTCAGAGCTTGGACGGACTTCGTTCAAATCCCAGCTCTGCCACAAACGAGCCCTGTGACCTTGGGCAAGGCACTTCACCTCCCTGGCCTGGGTCCTTTCCTCTGTAAATTAAGGCTAATAACAACTGCTTTGCAGGGTTGTTATGAGGATTTGTGAACAAAGTATGGAGCATTTCAGTTCATCACAGTTGTGGCTGTTTTATTTCTAAGAAGAACGTTACCATCCCTGTCAAGCCTTTGGCCACCCTGTCCTATGAAACTCAGTGCAGCCCCCTCTGTGTTTCATAAACTCTTTCTCCTTCGTGTCTGTGTAGCATTCAAATGGTTGCTGACACCTTCTCGTGGAGGGAGTCCTCCAGCTCTTTGCTTAAAATCACAGGTCCCCTGGCTGCACACCCCTGTGCTCTTCCCTGCTTGACTTTTCTCCATGGTGTCTACCAACTGTAGAGCTTCTGCATATTATTCTCGTGAATGTGAGCTCCCAAGAGAGATTCCTGTCTCTCCACTCCCCATCCTCAGAACTAGAACCGCGTCCAGCATTCATGGGGGCTCGGTCAGTACCTGTTGACTGCATGAGTAAATCATTTTTGTGCCATTGAGGGGTATTTAGACAGTACTACACGGCCCAGCTGTTATGGGCTGAATTATGTCCCCCGCCCCGAAAAAAATTCATATATTGAAGTCCTTTAAGTGGAGTGTCTGTAGGTTGGCGCAGAAGATGCCTGTCCCCAGTTCAGACCCACCGGGAAGCTGGCCCAGGGTGAGACCTGGGATGCAGAGCTGGTCTGTTGGGATACTCACCATAGAGCATAGGAGGGACTGTGTTGGAGTTTTAACATGCATTCTATTCGTTCGTTCATTTTCATTTTTGCCAACTTTGAACAGTGTGCACCTGAACCAGCAGACTTTGCCAGAAACACTGTAGCCTCCATGCCGGCAAGTACCTGGCCTCACGGAGCTGGTCCTGACTTTAAGAAAACAAGGCAGGGAATAAGTTTCTATATATAAAAGCACGATGAAGGAAGCCACAAGAAAAAAAAATTAATAAATATGCTACCCAAAAACTAAAAACTTGGTACATGTAAAACATGAAAAGCACCATATGAAAAACTGAAAGGTAAATGACAGACTGGAGAAATTTTACAACCAATAAAGTACTGATATTCTTAACACAGAGAGAACTCTCACAAATTAATAAAACCACTGAGCATCACAGTATAAAAATGGCATAAACAGACAATTCACAAAGAAAGGATACAAATGGCAAGTAAGTCTTTGAAAACCATCCAACCTTATTAGCAATCAAGAAAAAGCACAAAGCATATTAAAATTGTTTTAACCTATGTAATTAATTGGCCAGGTTTTTTTCATGGTAGTAGTTCATGTAGGTTGAGTGGTAAGCTAGGCACTCCCATTCACTGCCCGGGGAAAGGCCAAATGGTCAAGATGGCAAAGACTCAGCCATCTGCGTCAAGAGAACTTAAAATGTTGATCCACTTTGACCCAGTGCTTCTATTTCTAAGCACTGGTCCGAACGTAGTTATCAGAAACAAGGACTCAATGTGTCAATTGCAGTTTTGTTGAGAAGAACCAAAAATTGGAAATAAACGTCCAACAAAAGCTGAATGACTAAATATATTCTGGAGGTTGTATCTCTGCAATGTAGCATCATGCAGACATTTTAAAATCATTCCATATTTATAGAAATGGGGAGCCTTTCAAGTGAAATGAAGAAACTATAATATTGGGGGGATTTCTTTCTCCTTTATATGTCAGTGCATTTTCTGGATTATCTATAGTGATTTTATTTTTATGATAAGAAACAAAAGCTCGTATCTGTTTTCTAATGCCCCTATAAATGCCACTTCCCCTACCCAGGAGAGCGTCTTGCTTCTAACAATTAAAGCAGCTGGAGAGCCCAGCCTCATCTCACCTGCAACGTTCCCTCCACCACCCCACCCACCACTTCAGGTCTCAGTATCTTTGTTGCTTTTCTGGATCCATTTATCTCTAAACGTGAAAGAGTGAGCTGCACCCTCGTTTGCTTGTTTTGGACCAGTTCCCACTTCCCTTCCCAGAGAAGGGAAGAGAAGAAGAATGATATTTCGTTGTTACGTGCACCCACTCTCACACGTACCTGGGTATTTGCTTTGAGTGCCAGTTGGGATGGGCATGAGGGAAACTCAAAAAGAAATGCTAGTTTCTTTGGCCATGTAGAGAAACACTGACCTATCTTTGTTCTTGTCCCACAGATACGATGCTGCCTCTTGTGTTTTACTGTTGGATCAGTTACAATTTTCTGTGCTGAGATCATTCTGGAAACTCAAACACTAGACTTCAGCATTGAAGGGAAGCCAAAGTCATCAGAGGGGGGATAAAGCCAAGAGCTTTTCTTTGAACAAACAAATAAGTTTGTTCTAAAAATTTTACTGCCCCCTCCCTACGTACCCCCCACCCCAAAATAAGCCATTGCACACAGACAGGCACCATGGCCAGCAAACGAAAATCCACAACCCCGTGCATGGTTCGGACATCACAAGTACTAGAACAAGATGTGCCCGAGGAAGGAGACAGGGCCAAAGAAAAAGGGATCAGCACGCCACAGCCTGAAATGGCCAAGGACAGTTGGGCAGCGGAACCTGAAAACTCTTCCAAAGAAAATGAAGTGATAGAGGTGAAATCGACAGGGGAGAACCCATCCAAAAAGCTCCAAGGTGGTTATGAGTGCAAATACTGCCCCTACTCCACGCAAAACCTGAACGAGTTCACGGAGCACGTGGACATGCAGCACCCCAACGTGATTCTCAACCCCCTCTACGTGTGTGCCGAATGTAATTTCACAACCAAAAAGTACGACTCCTTGTCTGACCACAACTCCAAGTTCCATCCCGGGGAGACCAACTTCAAGCTGAAGTTGATCAAGCGCAATAATCAAACTGTCCTAGAGCAGTCCATCGAAGCCACCAACCATGTCGTGTCCATCACCACCAGTGGCCCGGGGAGCGGTGACGGCGACCCTGGGATCTCTATGAGTAAAACCCCCATCATGAAGCCAGGGAAACCGAAAGGTGATGCCAAGAAGGCGCCCAAGAAGCCTGAGGACACCACCCCTGAGAACCATGTGGAAGGGACTGCCCGCCTGGTGACAGACGCAGCTGAGATCCTCTCGAGACTTGGAAGTGTGGAGCTGCTCCAGGAGTTAGGGCATGTCATGCCTTCTGTCCAGCTCCCACCAAATATCAACCTTGTCCCCAAGGTCCCCGTCCCGCTGAATACTACCAAATACAACTCTGCCCTGGACACGAACGCCACCATGATCAATTCCTTCAACAAGTTCCCTTACCCGACCCAGGCTGAGTTGTCCTGGCTGACAGCTGCGTCCAAACACCCAGAAGAGCACATCAGAATCTGGTTTGCAACCCAGCGCTTAAAGCACGGTATCAGCTGGTCCCCGGAGGAAGTGGAGGAGGCCCGGAAGAAGATGTTTAATGGCACCATCCAGACAGTCCCCCCGACAATCACTGTGCTGCCCACCCAGCTGGCCTCCACAAAGATATCACAGCCCATCCTCCAGACAGCTCTACCATGCCAGATCCTTGGCCAGACCAGCCTCGTGCTGACTCAGGTGACCAGCGGGTCAACAACCGTCTCTTGCTCCCCCATCACGCTTGCCGTGGCTGGAGTGACCAACCATGGCCAGAAGAGACCTTTAGTGACTCCCCAAGCTGCCCCCGAGCCCAAGCGTCCACACGTCGCTCAGGTGCCAGAGCCCCCACCCAAGGTGGCCAACCCTTCACTGACCCCGGCCAGCGACCGCAAGAAGACAAAGGAGCAGATAGCCCACCTCAAGGCAAGCTTTCTCCAGAGCCAGTTCCCTGATGAGGCTGAGGTCTACCGACTCATCGAGGTAACCGGCCTCGCCAGGAGTGAGATCAAGAAGTGGTTCAGTGACCACCGGTATCGGTGTCAAAGGGGCATCGTCCACATTACCAGCGAATCCCTTGCCAAAGACCAGATGGCCATCTCGACCTCCCGACACAGTCGCACATACCATCCCTACCCAGACTTTGCCCCACAGAAGTTCAAAGAGAAAACACAGGGTCAGGTTAAAATCCTGGAAGACAGCTTTTTGAAAAGCTCTTTTCCGACCCAAGCAGAACTGGATCGGCTGAGGGTGGAGACCAAGCTAAGCAGGAGGGAGATCGACTCCTGGTTCTCTGAGAGGCGGAAGCTCCGGGACAGCATGGAGCAAGCGGTCTTGGATTCCATGGGGTCTGGCAAAAAAGGCCAGGATGGGGTGACCCCCAACGGTGCTCTGTCTCGACTTGACCAGCTCTCCGGTGCCCAGCTGGTCAGTTCTCTGCCCAGCCCTTCACCAGCAATTACAAAAAGTCAAGAACAGGTTCATCTCCTGAGGAGCACATTTGCAAGAACCCAGTGGCCTACACCCCAGGAGTATGACCAGTTAGCAGCAAAGACTGGCCTGGTCCGAACTGAAATTGTGCGTTGGTTCAAGGAGAACAGATGCTTGCTGAAAACTGGGACCTTAAAGTGGATGGAGCAGTACCAGCAGCAGCAGCACGTAGCGGAGGACCACGGCTACGACACCCTGTCAAGGAAAGCAGCCAAAGCCGTCATCACCGAGAGCCCAAAGAATGGGAGCGAGGTGGGTCCACAGTACCACAAGGACCCCAAAAAGCTCTGCGAAGAGGACTTGGAGAAGTTGGTACCCAGGGTGAAAGTGGCCAGCGAGCCAGCAAAAGACAGTTTGCAGGCAAAGCCCTCAGAGGCCACCTTGGACCGGTCAGAGGGCAACAGCCAAGATGGCCAGGGTAGTGACGAAAACGAGGAGTCGGGCGTTGTGGATTGGGTGGAGGTGACAGTCGGAGAGGAAGATGCCATCTCTGACCGGTCAGACAGCTGGAGTCAGACTGCCCCCGAAGGCACCGCAGAGCTGGCCGACTCGGACTCCGACAGTGCCCCTGCCGAGGCTGGCCAGGCCTAGACAGGTAATGCCACCTGTTTCCCCCGAGCAACTAGGGGAGGGTGCTGGCTTGCTTTCCTTTGGTTGCTAGAGTCACTAGAATTTGTAGGGTACAGAGATGTTAACAAAGTGATGGGTTCTTTTTTTTTTAAAGGAAGAAAAATTGGAGCTCGTAGATTTCATGTCCTTATTTGAAAGACTGTGCCAATGGGTGACAGTACTGTGGCCTGTGGCCTGTCTGGACACCACCCTTTGGGGACTGTCTGTTCTAAAGTCTAGTTGCAGTTGTAACCGCCAGTTTTGTGTTCACTGCTGTAAGGGAAAAAACATGAAAAGGATGTCTTTTCCCTTTTTTTTTTTCCTTTTTTCGTTTTGGATTTTTAAAGAATAGGTGTCTAAGTTTTCTGGCTATAGAGTTGGGGTCATTTCAATTAACCGGAACGGTTTGGGTATTTGCCTTGTCATGGCGAACGGAAGGTGCCCTGTGTGTCTCATTAAGTAACCCTGCTTCTAGCTTTGCTGATTGGGTCCCCAGAACCCCTTCAGTCTGGGAGAGACTGGTGTAAATTAGGCCTGTGGAGCCACAAAGGCCTGGGAAGGGAGGTTGCCATGGTTACTAATGGCCATGTCATCCACATAATGGGACATGCCACCCAAACCCTTGGTGTTTGTGCTTCACAGGAGGTCCGTGCAAATCAGGGCCTAAAGCTCAGCAGCTTGCTTGGTGGTGCGCTTAGAAAAGGTGTCAGAGTTGGGGGTGGGAGGTAGTAGGAACAGGGATACAGGAAGAAAAGGTCCACCTTGGCCAAAGCACAAAGGCCTCCCCACCCCCGTGTTGTTAAAAATAATAAAATAAAGGTAAGGACTGCCAGAATGATTGATAAAGGCCCAAAGGGAGCCCTGGAAATTACCACGCCTCTTTATTCATGAATTTGGACAACTTTGGCTGGCCATGCCACTCATTCATTCACTTACTCAGTAATGAAATGAAGCACCTGGCAAAAAAATAAAGTCTTCCAGAAACCTTGTTTTAGCCAGTTCCATCAGCTACGAGTAGAGCAATTTAATGAGCAGCCACTCACGGATGCCCTCAGGCCTTCCTCCGACTTCTCAGGAGGAAGTGGTAAGGGGTTGCAGGTCAGGAAGCAGCGCAGAGAGGAGCGGGCATGACAGGAAGAGGGCTGCTGATGTCACAGGTAGCACTGACTACCCACCTCCGTCTGGCTTCCTTGGTTTTGTACTCCCTCTGGCCACTTTCTTGCAAAACCCTACCAGCCTGGCCCCTATCTCTCTCATTGAAGAAGCGATGGGTTTTGTCCAATCAGAATCTTCCTGAAAGCTCCTAGTTTTCCCTGTCTTCTGTCCTTGGCCTTTTCTAATACATGATACAAGTCTACAATTTGACAAATGCATCCTGAACACCTACTGTGTGCCAGCTGCTGTGCTAGGCACTGGAGATAATGTGATGAAGAAGACAGGTGACAGAGTCCTTGTTCCCATGGAGCTCAGTCAGGCCAAGAAGCGAGGAAATTGGTCTGTCCTTTACTAGCCAAGGTAATCCCTGGTGTGATGGAGACGTGAACAGCTATGTGTGGGAGCCTACAGGAGGAGCACCCAGGCTGGGGGTCAGGGAAGGCTTCCTGGAGGAAGAGACATCTGACTCAGGGGCTAGCTGATGGAAAGGAGTTAGCCAAATACACAGACAAGGAAAAGAGTGGTTCACGGAGAAGGAACAGATAGGCAAAGGTCCAGAGACAAGAAAAAGAATGATGCAGTTGAGAAGCCAAAAGAGGTTTGGTGTGGACTGAAAGTCAAATTTCAGTGGGGATTCAGTTAATGATGAGGAAAGGCAAACTACAAGAAAACCCAATGGTTTCCCACAACTGGCAAAAACTATTCTGAACTAACTGTATTTGCTGAGTGTGAGTATAAGGGTGCTAAGTGTCCCTATATTCCAGAGTGAGCTCAGGTGTTGCTTCCAGATGCCCATCACTGAGTGGGAGGTTGTCTCGGGGTGGCAGCTCCCAGAGGCCCCTGCAGCCACCTGTCCCCCTCCCTTCTCTCCCAAGCTACCATCACCAACAGTTGAAAATGCCACTGTGCCTGACCCTCAAGGGAAGCAGAAGATGAAGCAATGCTGAAACCATAAAGAGAAGCTTTGGAAAGGAAGGGAGGAGAAATGGAAGGGACAGGGCCTCCTGAGTAGCAGAAGCTGAGCTAGGTGCTCTGGCCACAGATGGTCTTAGCCAATTCCCTTAGTGACCCTGAGAGATAAGTTCTCTATGTTTTTATAAACCCAGAAACTGAGACTCAGAAACCAAGGAACTTACCCCTATTCACCCAGCCAGCACCTTGGTTTCATTCCAGAGCCTCACTCTTCCCACTTGTCATCCCTGCCTCTTTTATTTCTGACATATGCTCCCACCCCCGGTGGCAAGGGTTGGAGGGGAAGCCCTAGGGTTTTTGGAGTTGACTTTTGAATTAGCATTAGATAACTCAGAGATATAGGAACTACCCATCTCCCAAAAGAACCAGGAGCACCCAGGAACCCTTTTTTATGTTTATTTATAGTAAATGCCACTAGCGTGCTCTGTAAAATATTCCTAAATGAGATGCTAAGATCCACTCAATACCTGGCGACGTCCATTATCCCGCATCGGTTCCCTGATATTTCAGAGGAGCCATTGCATTCAGAAAGGGGCTACAGTCTGCCCTAGTGGTGGCATCCTGGACCTTAAAACTTAGAGAGAAAAAATGCTTTCCAAATTCCTTCACAGGTTTTATGAATCGAACACGTGGTTCTCTTGAAATGTATAAATATTCAGTGATGTCTTTATTTAAATACATGTTTATTTAGGAAACTGCTGTTGAGTTCAGTTGTTACACATCTCATAATCCTGGAAATAATGCATGGCTTTTGGGGGTTGTTTGTTGCTATTTTCCATTTTNACATGTTTATTTAGGAAACTGCTGTTGAGTTCAGTTGTTACACATCTCATAATCCTGGAAATAATGCATGGCTTTTGGGAGTTGTTTGTTGCTATTTTCCNTTTTGGGGGTTGTTTGTTGCTATTTTCCATTTTATTTTATTTTATTTTATTTTGTGGAGCATTCACTGTGCCAGGTACTGCTCAAGCACTTTATGTGTGTGAACGCAACATTCTCTGAAGTCAACACTATTCTCTTCATTTTATGGTCGATGAGAATTAGGTACAGAAAGCTGATCCACCCAAGGTCACTGAGCTAGGAAGTGGTGGAGCTGGGATTCAAACCCACACATGTAACCACATCCAGAGTCTGCCTAGTGAGTTTCAAGTATGATCCCATTTGCTCAAATCTGTTGAAAGCCCTGGGTAAAATTCAGTGATTGGAAAAGGGCAGGAAGGGCCAGGGACCCCTCTGATTCCTTCTGCCTTGAGCCTCCCCGAGAGCAGCCTGGAGGACGCTTACCTGGCTCATAAGTCTCAGCAATTTCCCCACCCCGAAGGCTCCCCACGCTGCTGCAGGGAAGGAGCTTCTGCCAGATGTGCCAGAGTTGACCGAGCCTGGTGTGTGATGAGTCTGGGTGTACGCACTTCTCCCTGTCCCCTGGGAAATTACTTAATCCCTCTCTATGCCGCCGTATTTTCCTTATCTCAATGCTAATTAAAATCAGGCCATGCCCCCACTTATAAAAGGCAACTTAACTCAGAAATATGATTGAGAGATAATAAATCACGATCACGGTGCTTGTTTTGCTTTCTCATGGAATACAGTGCTATTCTCTCCCGAGTCCAAAGGGCTTTGGGAAATCCTTACAGGGAAAATGAAAGAGAAACAGAAACAGAAAGCTATTGCATGGGGAAAGAATTCTGATTGTTTCATGTTTCCCCAATGGTTAAAATAATAGAGAAGCAGATTTTGCTAAAGAATTAGAGATACTATTTTTTAACATTCCAAGTTGTCCCTGAGAAAGGGGTGGCTATGGGAGGCAGTGGGTTCCCTGTCCTGGGCAGTGTTCAGGGAGAGGCTGGACATCCACATGGTAGAAATGTTTAGATAGTGGCCATAAGGAAATGGGCCCAATGACTCTGCAGTTTCCTCCCAAAGCTGAGACCTGGTGCTCTAGGTTCAGGTGATCCATCTGGTCGTTGGCTGTCTGCCATGGGGAATGCCTGTGACCAAGGGGTAAGATTCTGGGTAGAAACCCAGGAGGTTAAAAAAAAAAAAGAGAGAAAGAGATTAGCAAGAGGCCACATAGTCAAAATCGCTGTGACACTCTTAGAAAATAAACCCAAAATGCGAATTTATCCTTAGTGCGCCACAGTTCAGGAAGGGGGTGGCAGGGGTCAGCAGTGAACACTGTGGGCACCGTCCATGTCATTACAGGCATCACAAGATGTACAATTAACCAGGCAGTTTGAGGACAGCCTGTGCTGGGGCCCCAGCACAGGGACACTCGACAAAGAGAACTGATGGCGTCTGGGACAAGGCCTTTCAGGGAGGCGGCCTGCAAGCTGGGATTGGCTGCCGGGGGAACCAGCCCAGCCTCTGCTTCCTTTTCATCTTCTCTGAGCGTCTTCCCAGATGCACTGAGAGTGCTGCCGGCCCCACAGCCTGAGCCCTGCCCACAGCTGCACACCCTGCAAAGGCCAAAGGAGAATCGAAGTCCAGCTGTTCCACGGGTGTTTCCACAGGCATCTGGGATCTCTGCAAAAGCCAAAAAAATTGCTCCGTCCTCCTTTCTCCGAGTCACCCCTTTGGACTTGCAAGCTGTTGTTTTGGATTTTTTTAAGGGCCATTTTCAGCTTTTTTTCTTTATTAATGCCTATGCTTGGAGAATTCTGCAAGTTCATGTCCACAAGAAATTACCCAGGGAAGAAGAAAAAACTCATTGCCAGATAGAGAACCACCTTGGTTTTGAGGTTTATCTATAAAGTAACAGTTTCTGCCAATCACTTGAAGGGACAGGGTTCAGTTTCCTTTATGAGAGAGGGAACAATGTGTATACTCTCGTGCGTGCATGCACACACAAACACACACACACACACGAGTTTACTTAGNCCTTTATGAGAGAGGGAACAATGTGTATACTCTCGTGCGTGCATGCACACACAAACACACACACACACACACACGAGTTTACTTAGACCTAAGGCCCTAATTTTACACCTGGCCTTCCTCAAGGAAAAATGAAGCAATATTCCTGGAGCACCTGCCTGCGTTGCACGGCTCATCTGTAACCCTCCCAGCAGCCTGTTGGGTATGAATTACTGAAATGAGCAAGGTTCAGGGAGCTTAACTGATCTCGGCACACAGCCAGGAGGTGGGCAGACCCTGGATCTAGCTTTCCGGTTGGGAATGGGAGGAACAGTAGCTGTCTACCCACCCTGGGCCTTATTTCCTGGAGCCTTGAGAACTGTTCAGGTGGACATCTAACCAGAGGCAGCCTCCTTTTCAAAGGTGGTGAAAGACCCTGTTTGCTGGGGGAAAACCTGTTCCTTGGGGACACAAGAGGAGGCTGCCGTGCTCCGTGTACCCACCCAGAGGGACATGTGGCTGTGCACAGGACCCCCAGCCCCTGTCTTTAAAGCAGACATGCTCTCTATTGTAGCATGGTGGCTCTGTGCAGGGAGAGGCTATGTGTGTAGGACTGAGGCTGGCTGTGGGGAAGAGCAATTAATTGGACTGGTCAAGGTGGAATCTAAGGTACTAAGGATTAAGACTTCAACCTACATTTTGGGGGGGACACAATTCAACTCATAACAAGGTCTTAGGACTATTTTCATCACTTCAAGAATATCAGAATTAAGCATCTCTCCATACTGACTCAGTAAATACTGTTCATTTGTTAAGAGCACAGGCCCTGGAGATTGCCTGGGTTTGAATCGTGGCCTGCCGCTCACTAACTGTGTGATCTCAGGCAAGTTATTATTTAACCTCTCTGTGCTCAGTTTCCTCACCTGTAAAATGTGAATGTTAATAATACCACCACTGAGAGTTGATATAAACATTAAATTTAAAATACACTTAAAATGTTCCATCTTATTATGGTTACTGTTATATATCCTACCATATTTGGAAATGGTTCCATGTAACAAAAGCAATGGAAGCATCTATAATGCCATGTACTGATCACTATTCCAACTGCTGGTTCCTATGCCAGCTTGTTTAATCACAACAATTCAAAGAGATGGATGCTATTATCCACCATGTCTTACGTATGTGAAAACTAAGCCCTGGGCAGAATAAGTCACATGTGCACTGCCTCAGGGTAAGTAGGTGGGCAGGTCAGAACCAGAATCTCGATTTGTCTGACTCCGGAGCCTTTTAGGAGCCGCTGTGACTGGCCGCCTGTACAGGACTAACTAAGGGTTGTTGTAATGATGAAAGAATCACACAGGTCACCTCCTGTCCTTCCCCAGAAAGCCAACCTGTGTTCTTGGGGTGCTTCCCATGACATTAGATTGTGCTCAGGAAACACTTTAAAACGGACCTCAAACTTGTGTCTCTCCTCTTGTTCCCTCCACCCCCCAAAGCCAGTGAGAGGCAGCCCCTGCCTCCTTCCACTGTCTCCCTGACATCTTGTCTCTCTGGTGTTGTGTCATCTTCTAGGAAAGCCGGACAGAATTGCTGGGCTGATACAGGAGATGCTCTGTCTCTGAAGAAAGAAGAGAACTTCCCTCCCAGGCCTGCAGTGGGCCACCTGGCCAGAGACTCCAAGCAGAACTACTCAGCTGGCCTGTCCCTGCAGGAGCAGGAACCCAGGCGCCTCCCAGAGGACCGGTGGGAATTGTTTATCGTGCCAAAGTCCTACTACTGCGTTTTCAATGGGTCCTTGTAAATAGTTGGCTCCTCTGCCCTGTCTCCCACCTCTTGCTCTACTGGAACCAATTTGTACAATGTGGGAATTTTGCTACCTTTTTAATCGTGGGCCATTTCCATCTCCAGCACTACCATCAGCAGGTTTTTTCCAGGAGGGGGGGTCTGATCACGCGTGCTTTTTTCTTTCTTCCTTTTATTTTTTATTTTTATTTTATTAATTTGGGGGAGGGGTAATATTAGCATTAGTACCATTATATCTACTGGATTTTAGGTAGGGAGAGTTCATTTTAAAAGGTAGTTTGAAATTTGGGAGATTTCTCGGGGAGAAGGCATCAGTCTCAACTTGGAGAGAGTTTACAGATGGCAGATCTTCCAAATCGAATCCATTTCCACTCCCCCCCCCAGCCGCCTCTGTGTGTCGCTACACAGGCCTTTCTGAACGGCCTCCTACAGGTCTGGTTTCTCAGTGGCCTGACCTCTTAGTCGGACCTTGGGTCTAACCAGCGCTGGGATACCTGGGGAGCAGGTGGCTGTCCTTTTTAAGCACCTTTTTAGATACCCGCAGAGAGGGCTCCCACTTTCTTAGCATTATCATTACTTTTGTGAAATTACAACAAAAAGAGATCTTCCTATCTCGATGGTACAAAGATGAACCGCTTTGGTTTTCATTTCTGTTCCTAATTGCCTTTTTCCAGTGTGGTGTTTGACAAGATTTCAGCTTGAAGCCTCACCATGAATTGATTTTTTGTTTGTGTGTTTGTTTTGGGCCAATTTTAGATTCCTGAGTGCACTTTCCTGCCCAGTTAGCCCTAACTTTTATTAAAGAAGAAAAACCAGGAGACGTTTCTGGTGTAAATGTTGCAATATGAATTGTGTTTGCAACCCACCCACCCCCATTTGAGTACATTGCACAAATAAAATGCTAGGGAGTTTGGAAAACAAACAATTTTTCTAACTTGTTGCTCCTTTGTTGTAACTCAATAAAGCAAAGACTAAACATTTTTATAACCTTTTCCTCTGTTCCTGGTTCTTTCATTTCTGTCTGGCTCCCAGGACATGGCAAGAGGGTTCCAACCCAGCCACCTACTGTTTCAAATCCATTATGACCACATTTCTCATTTTCAATCTTGGGGAGGTTGGACATCGCAAGTTGGGACTTTAAAAACACTGTAAATGTTGATGTGGGAATCATTGTCATATCTCTTGGACACAAAAACATAAGTGATAGGCCCTCACTTCTCCAGGGTCTTTACAAAGAGATTCATAAAATACTACAGAACCCTGGCCAGGGGCCTCAGTTGATTGGAGCATCATCCTGTGCACCAAAAGGTTGTGGGTTCGATCCCCGGTCAGGGCGCATATGGGAGGCAGCCAATCGATGTTTCTCTTTCTCTCTCTCTCTCCCTTCTTCTCTCTAAAACTCAATAAATATATCCTCAAGTGAGGATAAAAAATATAAAATACTGCCGAAAAGACTGTCAGAGTGGGTATGAGACCTACAGGACATGTCTAACACCACTGCTTACTCTCAGGTGAACTCAGGTAAGTCAATTCCCTCCCTAGGCTGCTGGTGGCTGGGGACTGCCATCTCTCCAAGAAGGCCAGCTTTTGTGTCTCTATCCAGGTGAGGTTTAAAGAGCCCCTCACTGCTCCCAGTGGTTTTCAAACCTGAGCAGACACCAGAATCACCTGGAGAGCTGGTCAAAGTTTCTGATTCAGCACATCTGGGTGGGACCTGAGAATGTGCATTGCTAACAAGTTCCCAGGTAAGGCTGATGCTGCTGGTACAGGGACCCCACTTGGAAATCTCTGGTTTCATTTTTACAAGGATTTACAGACTCCTGGCCAGTTTATTTAAACTAAGCATGTGTAAAAAGCATGCATAAGCATATACCTCAGATAAGAGAAAGGACCTTTCCTCTCTCCCCCAGCCCCAAATACAAGAGGCACTGAAAGATCAGGTATTCAGAAGAGGCTGGTCTTCTCTGGAAGATGCCCTCAATATTGAGGTCAAATGCAGTTGTATTGTGGGAAAGTTCTGGTCCTTGGCTTAGAACCCCTGCCTGACGCAGCCATTGGGCTATGGACTCCAGTTGCCTTGGAGATAGCTGCCCACTAATCTCTTCCCCCAGACCTCCTTTACCCCTTCATCCCTTGTTCCCTGAATTCCCCCAGTCTATGACATACTCAGGATGCAAGGATACCTTTTGCTTAGTGGAATTTCACCAGTTCCCCCACCCACCCCAAAGCTCATGCTGTAGATACCACACTCCACCAGGTCACTGCAAGAGCATCTGGTCTCTGTTCAAATGTCATCTGCCCTCCATGACTTCCTATCTGCAGGACCAGGATGAGGTTAAAGCAAGCAAGGCACCTAAAGGTGCAAAATTTAAGGAGCCGAGGTCATGCAAATGCCAACCCTACACTTGCAAAGCCCTGAGAGTTGGCACCTCAAGTTTTGCACTCTAGGTCCCTCAGTCGCCTTACTGTAGCCCTGGCCTTCCCTATCTGGCATGCTTTCCTCTAACCCTACTTTATTTTTCTCCATCTTGCTTCTTATAACACATTATATGTATTTGTTTACTGTCTCTTTCATCCCACTGTGTTGCAAGATCCATGAGAGCAAGGACTGTGTCTGTATTATTCCCTTTCCCACACCCTCTGTGCTTAGCACAGTGTTAAGCACATAATGGATGCTCCATAAATATTTGTTGAATGAATGGATGGGTGGGTTTATGGGGCGAATGGGTGAATGGATGGATAATGGATGAATGGTTGATGGATGGATGAAGGATTCCAGCTCTGAAGTCAGACAAACCTGAGTTTGAATCTCAGCTCTCCTACTGATGAGCTAGGTGGTCTTCTGAGATTTATTTAATTTTTTCAGAGCCCTAGTTCCTCATCTGAGACCTGGAGATGCACACCTTCACCATAGGTGGTGTGAGCATTAACTGAGTTCATGAAGGCAAAGTGCCCAGCACACAGTAGGTACTCCACGAATGTTCCTCCCCTCCTGCTGCTCTGACCGGGATTGGCAGCTGGCCAGGCAGTGCAATGGCTGTGCCTCCTACGCCCAGATGGGCTGTTTGTGAGAGGAGGGCAGACAGGAGAAAGCTGGAGGCAGGTCTGAGAGATGGCATTCCAGACACCTGTGCCTCTGGCTTTGGAGACTTTGCCATACGTAATCAATCTCTTCTTTACCACCCCTTGACCCTCAAACTCTCCCCTACCCCTGCCCCAAAAGAAAATCCAAACAAATCGAACTTTTTAACCCACTCATCTAGGACACAGCAGTGTGGTGAAGGCCTGGGGCAGGGTGCTTGCGGGGTAAAAGGGGTCAATGGGGAAAAAGGGAACATCTGTAATACTTTCAACAATAAAGATAAATTTAAATGAATAAATAAATAGTGAACCAAAAACAACTAACCTGCACTATTATTTTTTTTTTAAGTGAAAAGTACTGTAGCTGCCTCATTTCCTGTTTGCTGCCTGGACTGCCTTGCCCACCTACACTCGGCGCTGAGCTGCCACAGGCCCCATCCCCAGTGTTGTCCTGCCTTCTGGCCTCCATCATCGACCTTGGCAGGCAGCTGCCTTCCCCTCCTACCCTTAGGTCTGCTTGCTATTCTCAAGCAATTTGTAGAAATTCTTCAAGCAAGGTAGTGTGTGATGCTATGAAATGCCTGAAGAAAGCAAAGGGAAAACCTAGCCAGAATGTTGGGCTTTTGACTTTAATATCTGTACCAAAGAGAAGCCTTGATCATTGATTGTAGCGAAAATACACAGGGAGGACAGTTGTGCTCTTGAAACCACCCAGCAAAATATGCCAAGGTATCTTTTCAATGATTAAAGGGTGGTGGAAACCAGGAGAGAGGTTTTGAAAGGGGAGTCGCTGGATGGATGGGATTCTTAATGAAGTCCAAGACAGCAGAGGGATGGAGTGAGTAAGCATCGCCCATTCTGTCTGTCCCGTTCCTCTCTGCACTACCATCTCTTCCCTTAGGGTACACGTGTGTCCCCCTCTGCTCATCTGATTCTGGGGGCTGCCCGTGACAGTGTCCTGCCCCCTGCCATGGGTGAGCCATGGCACTGCAGCGCCCTAGTCACAGACCTGGGCGCAGTGTGATGCAGGAGCAGTCAGGCGCTGGAGCAGAGCTCCCTGTCCCGTGCAGGTGGCGAGGGGGAGT